TTTCTCGCCGCTGCAGGTTTCTGCTGGCCGCGAAATGAAATAAAAGATAATTACTTACATGCAGAAATTGAATGCATCGTTTCTTAATAAATCCTGGAACAGGCACAAGAGTTCGACACCCCCCCCTTTCCTCACCCCTTTGCATTAGCCTGCACTCCATAATCATGTCATTTATTAAGAGTTCTGTTCTCCAAAGCTGCCCCTGGTTTATGAAAATTTGATCATGTCATGTAGAACAGGATTCCAGGGCCATTTATTTAGGAGTCGATTATTTCCAACAGATAATTTTGAGAAAATAATACTTGGCAGTGGGGCAGTCACTGCAAAGCCAATTAATACTAACACGGGTCAGTGTTGGGAGAGATCTTGTTTGCCGAAGTACGAATGCACACACACACACATCTTGTGTGTGTCTCGTATTTGTGTAACGCAAATATTTGCATGTACGTTGTTAAACACCAAATTGCATTTGTACTTACCTTTTTGTGAGATAAACATGTATGTAACTGATAAATTGTATTAATGGAGAGTGAAGGGTGTGCTGCAAAGTTCACACGGATATATTTGCCAGAACAGCGATATTTCCGTGCAGATTTTTTTCTGGATCGCAGCAGAGATGGGCGCGTGTGCATGCAAGAATATCTCTGTGATTATGCGTATGCTCCGTCTACGCACACACGCTCTCAGAGAGCACCACGCTTACTGCTGGGTCTGGAGGCAGGGAGGTTGGGCAGGAACAAGCACTCCGCTTTAGCATCGCGAGGATGAGCAGTGGGTGTACGTTTTCATGTATTTGTATCTACACAGTCAGGCACCGGCTGTGTACAACCGCCTGGTTGTATTTCCCTGTGGTGCTCTGGATAGGTTTAAAATACACCAAGTGTGCGCAGCCAGTGCTGCAGGATGGGCCAAGGCTTGCTCAGCCTGGCTGGGGCAGGCAGCCGGCAATCTTGGGATCATGCCCAGCACCAGGATCCTCACTGGATCCTCGCTGGATCCTCACTGCATCCTCTCCCCCTCTCCCCTCCCGCCAAACAAGACCACTCTGGCCAGCAGCTTCGTTACCTCGCTGTTTCGGAAAGCGGAGGGTTACAAAAGCCAAGCAGTGTACCTGTGCTAGGGGAGCTGTTTTTCTGCTTGGAGTTTTGCCTCGATTCTTTCATCCAGGGGAAAATCTGCTTGGTGAGACTGGCGTTTGCACTGAGGTTGGCTTTGCTGGGGGCGGTTTTACTGCTCCCCGACTGGTTATTGCTGTTGCTACTGGTGCTGTTGGTGGCAGGGTTTGGGGGCGGCGAGACGGGGGGAGGCGGATGGTGCTCCTGGGGCAAACTCGGACGCATGCAGCTCCCGTTCAGGTCTTTACTTTTTGCTTGCGGGGTTGTGTTGCCAAGAGACTGGAGAGAGCAGGCCGACCTCTGGTAGTCGTTCTCCACGTGAGAGGCCGGCTGGAAGGGCTGCTGGGGACCCTCGTAGCCGAACCCATTGGCACTCCCGTAGGAGTAACCCCCAAAGAGCGTGGAGCTGTCGTAGTACGTTGTCTTCTGCATCTCTAGGGCTCCCCAAAATGATTTTTCTGGCTACCAGGGTCTTGACACCCCTATGGCAGAACATTGGCACCCCAAGGCCACGTGACAGGCCGTTTCCAGCTGTCTATTGGAAGCTGACCTGAAAGGTTAGGAGAAAACACACAATAATAGTACCCAGCCTATGAATCCATCTTGGGGCCTGAAAGGCCCATGACATGAATAGGGTCCCGCAGAACAGGGCGAACAGATGCTTTGAGCAGATTTTATCCTGCGTGCAGCCTAAGGAGGCTCCACAAATGTCACAGCGCAGAAGTGTTGTGCTGGTTTTGGGGGGTAATTTTTCTGTTTGGTTGATTGGTTGGACTTTTTTCAACTCAGAGGATAGCAGCCAGGGTGTATAACTACACACATGCTCGATCAGCACACGTGGTTTCATCCGTATACCTCTGTTTACTTACTCCTGTGTTTATCTATATACATATACACCCACCCACGCATACAGATCTACTCCCACGTGAATGTGTGTGTGTATGCATGTAGATGTGTGTTGTGTGCGCGTATGTATATCCACATCCAAATAACACACACATTAACAAAAATATAAGAATACAGAATGGACAAGTGCTTGTTACAAGCATGAAAGGAATGAAAGTCTTGCTTTCGTACCCCTGATCTATTCAAATTGGCCATTCGGCCACGTGAAAACCAGCAAAACGCTGTATCATCAGAAATTAAAAGTCCACTAAGTTGATGGTAGGGCCTCTGTCCAGGATATTTGTTTTTAAACTGAAAACAGCAAATAGTCAATTTGTTTTTTCCAGGTAGCGGTGTCCTGACACAGTTGGCTCGATTTGCTGTTTACACAGGGACTCCCAATGTCTTTGGAATTTCGTGTCAATATTTTCAGCAGATTTAAGCAGGGGCATGAATTTGAGAATGTGCTTCCTCTGGCCTATAGATTAGTCTCCCCCCTCTCACTCCAGCAGCACAGGTTGTGTTTAGAAAACGTATCCCCTCGCTGCCTGCACTGCTTTGTACTCGTTGGTCCTGAATCTGGAACTACCATTGGCAAGACGTGATTTCAAAGCCAGTTTAATTGCTGTTGGTTTTTTTTTCCTTGGAAAACAAACACGTCACCAGGCCATTTGCTCTTAACTTTCTACCCCTTTGATTTTTTGTCGTGCCTCCTTCCCCCAAACCAAGCTCAGAAAGTCTAAAAACCCAGTCCAAAACCTCAAATTACAAAATGAAACCCTCTCTGCCTAGCCTTTTTCTTTTTCTTTCTTTCTTTCTCTTTCTTTTCTCCATGGATAAACTTTCTCTGCTGTAAAGACGGAGTAGAAATACCCTTAGAAATATGAAAACTATCTTGACCTGAGAATAATCTGATGTGTGAGGTTCAATTGAGCAGCAAATATATTTTCAAAAGGAGGTGACTTCTCTCTGCAGCTCAGAGTTTGCGAGGAGCCACTGTGCATTTCTTTTTGAAATTGATATCCATTGTATATTTAATTGTATCTATTGTATATTTAATTTTATCTGGGCTCTTTCATTCTCTAAAATAAAATAAAATAAACTCTGTGGAGATAAAGTCTAATGCGATATTTCTAAGTACCGGGGTTTAACAGAAGCCACAGCCTGACAATAAATAACATCTTTTTTTTCCCTTCCCCGACTGCTGTGTTCTTCTGTCATGTCATATGAAACCCCTGTACACTTCCAACACAGCCTCAGACAACGTGTCCACGAAGGGACAGCTTCTCTTTTTTACACTGATTAAATCCTTTATGCATTCCCAAATCTGCATTGTATCTTGCGAGGAGATGTATTATTGTCTACAGAGAGGATGATATCCTTGCTGGGAGTTATCCTCATTTGGTTTCCTCTCCATGATAAATATATCTTATTAAAAAGTAGACTCCACTGCCCGAGCCGAGAAGCTGTGAATTAATTAACAAACAGCAGCGCCTTTATTATGAATAGGTTTGCTGAAAATATCTACGAGGGCAGAGGTGGGAATTTCTCCAAGGCCTTCCTGTCTGGCATAGGTTTCTTCAAAAAAAACAAACCCAACCCAAACCCAAACCAGAACTGAGAGCAGAGGCTCAGCTAAAGCAGCTAAAAATAACAGCGACGATTTTTTTGTTGTTAAATGTTCATAAAATAAATTTACAATCCCCTTCGCCCAAAAGCTCGCTCGCTTGTGGCTTCCACAGAAGATTTGCTTTGTACCTCGTCTCTCAGCGCCTCACAAATGCCGCTCATTTATCTTGGGGGCGGGGAATTTTAGAAAAATAAAAAAAAAAAAAAAAAAAAAAAAAAGAGATAAAGCGGGGAAGCTGCGAGAGAGAAAGGGCTGCAGGGAGGAGGATGCTTGGGGAAAAATCCGGCGAGCGGGGGAAAAAGAGAAAAGAAACCTAAGGCGGAGGTATTCTCCTGTAAAGCCGTCCCCTCCATGTTGGAAATCCTAAATTCACAACCTGACTGTGTTTATGAAGCGCCTTTCACCACCCCCCGCCCCCTCCGAAGGTACATTTCCCAGAGCCAGCGAAACCAGGCATAGCCCCGCTTTTAATTTAAATTATTATTAATACTAAATATTCTAAACGTGTCCTGAACAATAGGTCGGCTGCTCAGAAAGAGCTCAAATCCCGGCGACTCTCTTGCGGGTGGATATGCCTGGAAAATAGAGACACATTCCTAAAATTTCCCTCTTCCCTCCCCCACCATCGAGCTTCACCCCAACCAGAACTCCCCAGTTGTAAAGCAGGGGGGGGAAAACGGGCCCTGGATGAGGGCTGCAAAAGAGTCGCTGCGTGGAAGGAAGCTTAAAGCTTGTGAACTCTTCTTGAACCGAGATTGGAGTCATATGGTCATAAATCATTGGGACATATACTCCGCCATTCACAAAGTGATAGCCTATTCGAGTCCGGCTTACCTTAGTCTCTGACGAGCAAAGCACAGGCAGACATAATATATTTTCACATCCAGCATCCACGCAATCAATAAGCGAGGAATGACCCCCTTCCTTTAAAAACGTTAAAGGAACATACGAGCGAGAGGAAAAAAAAAATCCAGCATATGCGTGTATATATGTATAAAAAAAAAAAGCCAAAACAGAGGGGGAGGGGGCTCAGCCAGTGTAGCTTTCGGTTACGGCAGCTCAAATTGCCTCTCTGTCTCCGTTTGGGGGAAAGAAAAAAAAAAAAAATTCAAGATGCTTTCCAGCTTCCAAGATGTGCAGAAAAGCTGAGGGCTTTGAATGGACAAACCCCGAGGTTGTGGTTGCCCTATAGACTGGTACGCGCTGCTCACTGATAACAATGGCCTCTGCTTTACCACAGCAAAGGGGAAGAAGGGAAAGGAGAAGGGAAAAAAAAAAAGAAAGAAAGAAAAGCTGAACACAACCCACACGCACACACACCCCCCCTTTAACTATGCGATGCTTGGCTGGGATTAAAATAATAACGAAAAGAATCCAGGCTACGATGGGGGGGTGGGCGGGGGGGGTCGAATAAAGCGGAGGGGATATTTAAAAATCAAGATTTGGTTCGGATTGCCGGGCAAAGCCAACGAGCCTCCCGAACAGCGTCACTAGTGAAAAATTATGCTAATTGCAGACGTGGTGGACAGAGGCCTAGGCGGAAAGATAGCAAAGCTTCCCTTTGATTCACGTGTTTAACAATTAGGTGTCAATTTATGCTAATAAACCGTTTCAACATAGTCATAGACAC